CCTGGATGTTCTCATCCATTTTCACCCACTACCACCCCGTCATTTCACCACAGCTGTTGTATTTACATTTAGACGTTTCTGGCTGCGGCCCAGGCTGTCGATTTTGTCCCCGTCACTTTTGCCCCGCCTTACATTTCTCTCCCCTCTAATCACACTTGTGCTAAATGACAGTTGGCTCACACTGTCTTATCTGCAAACAGAAGAATCATGCACTTAAATCTTTGTGGCCATATGCCAAAAAACCTTCATGTCAACCGTTCCTAAGATGTAGAAATGTCAAGAATAACTCAGTTGTGTTTTGCGCACGCCAGAGGAATAACAAATGAGAGGTCAAGATGATCAGGAGCGCTGAGGAGGAAATATATTCCAGATATTCAAAGTATCAACATAACAAGACGATGCAGAAAGGACAAGGACAAGAGGGAAGAGGGCGAGAAAAATGATGGAGACAAATGTTTTGAAAGGAGGCAAAAGGTACCTTGAAGAGAGAACAGAATATGGAACAGCCCAGGATGTGTATTCATCCATTTCCACAGCTTTGATTTTCCAGCGGCCGGGGACAAATGGTGTGGCAGTAATTCTAAGTCAGCTTGAATCTCAGAATAATGCTCTCCCTTTCTGTATTGCTCCCTCCTGCATGGATCACTGACTCATAAACATGGGCAGAAAGGCGGCCATTTCATCTAAACTCCACTCTCTCCTTCCGCTGAGCTTATATGAAATCATGTGGTGTGGTTTCTGATTTACAAAGATAGCATCTTACAAAGCTTACATCTCTCCAAGTTCACATGAGGGTTGAATCCAAATGTACCAATGTAAATGCAGTGAATTTGAAGACATGCAGCACACGCACTAAAAATGTGTCTTTAGTTCTTCACAGCAGACACTTGTCTGTGTCTTTGTGTGTCATTATCACATGTGCACAATGTAAAGTGACATAAACACACTTTAGTGAAAACAGAAAAATAAATACAGGAATATTTTTGGTGGGCTAGGGGCTAAGTAATCAACAGCTTAAAGTAAAAATGGTATAGAAATTAAGAAGTAAAAACACAGGTGTGGTTTTGACATATCCTCACACACGTCTTTATCCCTGACACCACCACTTCCTGTGTGCAGGTCACGTTCACAGGTTCCATATTTAAAGCTGTCATCACTTCTTTGCAATAACAAAATGGCAACTATAAAAAGAGGAATATAGAGTATGTGATAAAACCATTTACTATGCTCAGCTGTGAAAACATGACAGGTTCGACCTAAGCATAAAGTTATTCCTGGTTGTGTGCGTGAGGTGTGTGCATGGAAAGCAGAGGAGTCTCCCATGTGTCAGCGACTGAATCATCACATCAACCATGGACGACACATCTCCACTAGCCAGAAATGAAGCCAACAAGCCACAGTTGTATGCTACCAATTGTTATATGGCCTATTGCTAGTGTTGTGATTGGTACCACCCCTTATAACTGAAATCTTTCATGTAGTAAACGTCGCTGTTTTAGTTGTGGGAGTTTCCAGCGTGAAATATCGCCAAGTATCGCTGGCTAACACTTAAAACAGCTATTTCTAAATAGTCATACTCAAATGTAAAAATAACAAATGTTAAATACTGTGCAGCTACTTTTGTAGTTACAGTAGATAGTCATTTTATTTTATTTTCTGTCTCTAAAGGCACCAGTGAGGAGTTAACCACTGCAGACTGCTGCTCTGCTACAACAGTAGTTGCTCATTTTTAGTGCAGAGGAGCGCGATATTCACTGTGACTCACCGGACTCTGCCCCAGAGGTAAAAGCACTCTGCCCCAGGCAAAGATCTGAAAATAATTAGCTAAATTAAACCAGTGGAGCTGCTGCATGTTGTGTGCGCACATCAGCCAGAAGGTTATATTTAATTTTTTTAATAAAAATGTAATGACATTTCTTTAGACATGTGTATTGCACATTTCCAGAGATTTAAAGCGACTCATAATGACAATGACGTGAAGAGGAAAAAGAAATGGTAAATGTGCAAGATACATTAAAACTTTTGGGATTACTCTCAGGTATAAGCTTTATTTCTATTTTACATGAGCACAAAGAACCGAGCACTGATCTTTTTATTACCAACATGTGAAAAGATCCCGACGCAACTTCCTTCACTTTCTAGAACAACCATTGGACTGATTTCTAAAGGACTTAGGACGAACTTTCTAGCAAAATTCATAGGATGTGACATTTAAGCTTGTTCCCTTGTGCTTTGCCTCAGTGCCTTTCTCCTTCTCCCCTATAGCACAGTGTAACACAGTACTGAAGTTTAGCATTGATATGGATTCTGCTAATGTCAACAAACAACCAACTCCCAGCACAAAACCAAATGTTCGTTATTTAGCATTTGGAACTCCACTGACAATTAGTTTTGGATGATTGACATATTATGTTTTGCTGAAAACTGGACATAGCAAAATGAGAGTTGTTTACAACATTAATATCTTCTAGTTTTGCAAACTTGTTATCATCCAGTAACTTTAGCACTCCTGATTGCAGGAGCCTCTTCACAAGAGCTGGACAAAAGCTGACCAGCTAGCTAACGCCAACATTCGTGAATGATACAGAACCTTTAAGTATCATTTAATGATTTTCTCTATGTAAAGACATTGCAGAGGTCCACTTCACGTTCACATACAGGACAACACCCTGGATGTCTCCATAATGAAATCAGACTGACACATATGGGCTTGTCATTGGGAACAGGTGTCCAGGACACAGCAGTGTGTGTGCTTATGAGCATCTGTGCATCTGTGGACTGTATGTATGAGTGTCACTAGAGATTAGTGGCTTCGGTCAGAGACACAGGGTTGACTATGGAATTACAGGATCGCAGAGGCTGGGTATTGTTCCTATAGCCTCTGTGGTGTACTGCCTCACTGAAACAAGCATCACAGATGTTCACAGAGCCTCCTGAAATAAATAGGGGGCTTGACCACACGCTGCAGACGTGATCTAACAGGAACCTGAGACATTTGACAAATCTGACCTCATATTTTATCTTTCATAAAGAAGTCTAAAATAAATCTGTAGGTTATGTAAGAGTTATGTAACAGGATGTATGTATACAGACAACAATGAGAACAACAATCAAATTTTACTGAACTCCATTATCACTATAAGGTTCTGTGTGAAACAAGACTTAATTACCATAGTGTAAAAAGCAGTCAGTGATCAAAACAAGCTCTTAACTTCCACTTCACACCTTTGTCTGTCACGTTGCTCTTTAATTCAATTCTACAATTGTATTCATGATCAAAAAACACATCAGAGGAGGCAGAGTAATCTCATGCTTGCTGCTGCTGCTTCACCCAGCTATTCACTGATTAACCCTCAAACATCTCCTCAAATCTCCAAATGTATTATTCTCCTCACCCAACACCGATCTGACGTAAGAGAGATGCAAAGTTGTCAATCAAAATAAAGCAGATATGTGGACGTGCTGCAGAAGTCTGTTAATAGAATTGCCTTTGCTAATGTACACGACAACGGTCTCTGAGCTAAAGAAACAGTAAGTGTAAAGTGCACTCAAACATCGACTTGTGTATTTTACTCTTCTCTACAGAAAATATCCATTTCAAGGACTCCTTAGTCATTTGAGTCTTTTGGATAATTGATTCCAACTTCTTAAATGTGCATATTTCCTATTTCTTACTTTAATAAAAATAGTATTTTTCTGGGTTTTGGACTTCACTATTAGCTCTGAGATATAAGACACGCAAGCACACATTTTTGACATTGTAAGTGATAAATAATACATCAAGCAAAACAAAACATAATGTACAGGTTAAGTAAAAATTGGAAGAATCCAAAGTTGGCACGTCACTCTCCGTAACTGTATTCTGCTGATCGCTGGTGCTTACAAAGAGATGTATTGTATGCATATCAAGCCATCAATCAACATAAGAATGAGGAGAGGCTGTAAGAATGACACTATAAATCTGTCTGTCCCCACACTTATTGGCCTGTGAGTGTCCTTCCTGAGACTAGTCGGCAAATAAACTGAATAATGTGACGTGGGGTTTTTTTTATCTTTCAAAGAAGGAGGAGGGGAAAAAAGGCCTTACCAAAAACAAGCTGGCATCTCAAACTGTGTTTGTTTAGAATCAAATTGGTCATGAAGTCGATACCCAGTCCAAGATTTGGTTTATTTGTGCATCTCACCACACACATTATGATCCCTCACGGCTCTGGGAGAAGCACAGGTTTAGAGCAAATCAGCCTATTGTGAGACAGAATACGACGGAGGTAACAGAAGGAAAAGGCGCCTCTCTATCAAAAAAGGGTCAAAATATCTGTTCTTTGAGGATGAGGAGTCAGAATGTGTCTGTTTGATTTGAACTGGCTCTCATCACCTGCAGTGTAACAGCAACAATCCAAGCAGCACCACATTCACAGGGCAGGCTCTCAAGTACCCACAGCAGTCTCCACCACAGGACCACAGAGTACCTGCGTGGCTGTGAAGAAGGGAATAACATCGCCATCTAGAGGCACGACACAGCATCTTCCACCTCAAACAGCTCTGAACAGAAAATTGACTGTCATGCTCTCTCCCACATTACTCACAGAGCTGCTCACTCACTCGCTCGCTCGCTCTTTTCAACAAGTGGATGCAAGCAGCCACGGGAGGAAGCTGTCCAAAACAACTGCCAAAAACACCACAACAACAGAGAGCCGCCGCTTCTTCATCTGAAGCTTTTACCCGCTGCTCGATGAGACTTAGAACTATAGCTCCCCATGCAAGGTCAGGTCCAGCCAGCATGCAATATTTCTGGGGCGAGAACGAGGGGAGAGAAAGACAGATAGAGGAGAGATTGAGGGAAAATAAATACTTGACACAGGGATAACCTTCGGTGAGAGCATGCACAGCTTGGAGCTTTAACCACCTCTCAACTGAGACAGGCAGCCAATGAAACAATGAGAACAACAAATAGAAAGAAATGGAGAGAAAGCCTCCACAGAAGAAGATTTTGTTCTTACCAATGATGGGAGCCAGGCGAAAAATGTCAGAGAGACGACTGTTCACAGGTTCGTACGGAGAATCCTCCAAGAAATCATTGCCTGTGAGGAAGGTAAACAATTGTTATCAATAGATATATGTAAGACAGGCAGATAGATAGATAGATGGATTAACCCTTTCCTGTTTGTTTATCATTTTGCACCCCTCACATTGGCCTGCATGTGACATGGGTTATTTGGGCCAGTCGATATCCACGCTGGCACACTTCCACATGCTTGATTAGGCAGGTTGGTCAGCTGTGTTGCGCAACTGGAAGTCGACTCGCTGGCAACGGGTTGGATGCAGTTTAGGGACTAAAAGGCCTCCCCCTCCCGCCATGATCAACACTTTAAGATGGCAGTGCCAGCGCTGAGGAGCTTCACGCTCCATTACCCTCAAGGGATGTGATTTAAGAGGTCAAAAGTGGGCCCAGGCTCTGCAGGACCATTTGCTGTGTGAACCCAGTCAGGGTCCAAATCTGAAGGGAAGTTGAGTGATTGTGTTTGATGACATTGTACTGGTAATAGATACAGAGCTGTGTGTGCTAGATATTTTTTTGTGTGTTTCTGTGTTTGAGGTATAGGAAGGGTAGGGGAGGGCAACAGAGCTGGAGGGGCGAGGAGGGTGGACTGATGCTGACCCCTCCATACAGTAGTGGGAGGAGCAGGCACAACTAATCACCTCACCCTTTAGATGAGAAAACGTTTTCAGAGAATGTGCATTTCACATGAACTGTAGCTGCAGTGCACAGACGCAAAACAAAGACCGAGAGGGATGTTGTAGAGAATTACCCAGAGAGAAAAGCTGATATACTGATATACATACTACACACATGAAAACATATACACTTGTGAGAACATTACCCAATTAAAAATAATCTCTGCTGAAGGGGCTGACAACTTTAAGACCCACAGCAAGCACTAAACACCAACCTTGTAATGTCTGATAGATCCCCCAGTAAATGCGCAGACAGTTCTTCTCCTTCTTCATGCCCCTTTTACACCGGCAATTGTACAGCGGGCTCTGCTTGAGCGCGTCCATGGCGCTCCGGCACTCGTCCTTGGCCTCCAGGCCGGTCACCATGCTGAAGTTGCTCTCTTTGCCCCCGGCCACGCACTGTCTCATCGTGCGGTACTTGGTGCTGCACCCCTGCTCCTTCATACACTGCTCGCTGGCTCTCACGCAGTCCAGCCGGCGCAGGTTCTCCTCGGCGTAAGACAACACATCTGCACACACAGTATTAATCACATCATTAATAGTCATAGTATATTAGGATTTATTAATCACTTTGCAAGCTTGTTTAAGGGGAAAGATGACAGAAATTATTTTTTCTGTACAACATGAAAAAACACATCGACCACCACAGATGTATACAGAGGATACACAGTAAATAAACACTAATTAAAATCAGATTTGAACTGAATGAGTTCCATTATGCAGACTTTTCATTTTCGAGCAGTTTGGACTCAACACGTTTCCAACAGTGAGCAGCCTCTGCCTCTGCACGACTCACACACGTTATAAACTACAGCTCACAAAAAGCACCAAATAAACATGTATATGCATCCACGGGATAAATTCGTGTCAAAACAACAGAGGTCGGTGGGAATTACTGAGGTAAAACTTACCCAAAAGAGGCAGGAGGACATATAACCCTGCGAGGATCATTGTTTTCGTCTCCATGTGAAAAATAAACCCTTGCAAAGAACGAAATGTGCGAACTAAAAGCAACTTAAGAGCAGTTTAATTCCCAGGGTACTTCCACCGCTTTGAAATCCATTGAAAACACGTAGCAGCGTGCGCTCCGCTGTGCACAACACATCCAGCTTCGCCTCCTGCGAGAGATAATCCCCTTCCAGAAAAGTGTCCGGTCCCGATTATGCAGTTTCTCTCACTATCTGTATACTCTAGATGTCTTTACTTCTTTCCTCCCTGTCTTCTCACCGCCGAGAGACAGAAAACAAGAGACCAGCGCAGCGGTGGAGGCGAAGCGGGCGAGTGTCCTCCAACTCCAGCCAGTGGGATGGATGCTTGCGTCTGTGCGTCTGAGCGCACACAGCCAACTGGAGCCCCACTGCTGTCTGGCGCATTCAGCAGGAGGAGAGTGCCAGCTTCCCCCCCTTCGCACTGAAGTACAGTCATCGTATCATGAATTAGCTATAAGATATATCACAGCAAACTCACTCCAAGTGTTGGTACATGATTCAGTGAGAGCACCTACATTCAAACAATAAGCGCAGAGTTCAATTAACTCACTAATGAGCCAATGGGTGAACAAAAGCACGGAGATTATTTTGCGCATTAACTGCAAATCTTTGTTTGGGTTATTATGATCTGGTTTTTTTTTTTTTTAATGTTAACTTTCTCCCTAAAGTAGAAAAAAAGAACATAATCACTTATCCAGCTCATTAAAATAAACACAGGCAGTGCTACGTAACCTCAGAGGGCATGTGTGGTTGTATTTAATACGTTTTGAAGTCATGGAGTCTGCATGAGTGTGGGCTGGTTTTACATTTCAGTGTAACTGCGCTGACAGGCAGATGGCAAAGAGCAGGACTCCAGTGCATTTTTATGACATGATTAATATAGTCGGCTAAACCTGTAGAGGAGCTTACAATGCACATTCTAAAGTGGGTGCCTCTTGAGTGACAAAATGAATGGACATATTTCAGCTTCATGATGTGCTCTGGGTGTTTCAACCGCGTGTGTGGCTCCTCCCTGTCTGCTATAGTAGTAAGTAGTTATGCAACAGTAGCTGTCAACAGTAGAAGGGACTATAAGCTGTTGGGTATGAGATGCTGACACACACCAGGGGTTGTGATGTAAAATAAAGTCTCTGCAAAACACGCTGATGTGATACTTGCCAGCCAAAGCAGCGCTGCACTGAGGTAAACCTGCCCCCACACAGGGAGCTGGACACTGTGCGTGTGTCGCCATCTGTTGGAGGTTTACAGGTAAAGGTCACTGTTATGAATTATGATGTGCAACCATATAATGGTCACACTTCACACAGGATGCTTAGTATGAAAATATGAGCATCATATTCTAAACACCTTTGTTTGATCAATATGTAGTAAAATGGGAAGAAATAAAACAAACAGAATATGCTTGTAATAATACAGATGATGCATCCGGCAGCTTGTAACTCTTCCTATAGCTCATTGATTATCTATATGGTCCATTCAAAGGCTAATCCACTTGGCTAAATATGTGGAACCAGATAATGACAATGAACCTCTCTCTGCATTAAAGAGTGGACTGAATCAATCAGGGATGCAGGCGTCCGGCACAGTAAATCAACCCTAACACATAAAGAGAGAGCTGCTTCATTCAATGGCTCATTTGAACATCAGTGAATAACCCCTCCTTGAAAAGGAAGCATCCAGAAAGGTGCAGTCACTTTTCAGAATGACTTTTAGTTTTGCTAAATAGAAATATATATATGCGAGTCTAGAGAACACGGCTGGAGAAGAGACAGAAAATGGGCACAAATGAACGACAGGCTACTATCTGGGCTAATTGTCTGCTCACAGTTCGATGACGTTGCTGTTCTGAAGTCTCCGAAGGGAACCATGCCAGTCAGGGGAAGGCTCAGTCTGGTGATTTATGAAAAGCCACAATCAATATGTGATATTAATTTTGAAAATGAATGTCAAAATGATGTACTCCTCGGGTCATTTAACGTTCCACGCAGTAATGTGCTTCATGGCACCGGATCAGGGGCTTTTCTTTCTCATCCTGTCCAAATGGTGAAAAGAGAAAATTGGTGAAGGGCAGGGATTGTGTGACAGATATGGGCTCAGTGGATAAGTGAGAGGGCCGAGTTGTGCCGATGCAGCACTTGATAAAAGTTCAACACCATCAGTCTGGGCTGATTAGTCAAAGTGTACTCTCACAGTGCTGTGAATTATTAACAAGATGGTGACTCAAAGAGGCTAAATGCTTATTGAAAAATGACACATCTGCAATCATTTACATTCTGCGTCCAGTTGAATCACTGCTAACACTTTCATAAAATGACTAAAGACGTGTTGTCCACCAGAAAGACGTGATTGGTGTTGAAGCGATTTAAAGATAGCCTTACACATTCCTGATCAGTGTTAGTAATGGTGCTAAGTTAGCTGAAGTGGGACTAGTCAGTGCTGGACATTATGCTAACCATAAGTTCCAGTACTAGCAATGGCTTGGTTTAAGAGGTTGTTAAAAACTCAACTATTTCCCACACATTTTAACTTGGTCTACCTCTTATGCCTCCATCGTTTTTGCCGTGTGTAGTTTTTACTCTTCTATTGTTTGTGTTTTACTCTGTTATTTCTTTATTTGATGCTAATGCTAGGAAACTAAAGTTAGCTTCACATAATCACAGGTGCCAGCAAATGCCACTAACCATAAGCACACAATTGAAGCTTCCACTAACTAACCAGGAGCCTTACTAGCTATACTAGTGCTAGTAAGGATGTTAACCATAAGGACACAGTTCAAGCTTATAATGGCTAACTGGTTAACAGCCTTTAACAAACCTGATAGGTGCTAGTTATGATGTTAACCACAGGGACAGAGGTGAAGCAAAGCTAGCTAACTGGTTAACAGCCTT